GACTAACTGAAATAAAGAAGTTGACAGCGTGAGCTTTGTCATATGCATCCGAGGAAGTAGACTGAAGTCTACGAAAGCTCGTGCTGCCAACTTCTTTATTTCAGTTAGTCTCAAAGATGCTATAAGATCTCTCTACACACTAATTCTACAGACTAACACAGCTGTATCTTTGAATTCTACCACATATTGAAAACAGATATTCATATTAATAAAGGGATAGACATTTCAGGTTCTGCCTTTTTAAATTATTTTTTTCTATATTTTTGTAGGAGGGAAGAATAGTAAAAATAATAATAAAATTCATGTGATCCTTCATAGCTTATTTATCAATTGGGTGTGGGAACTGGAATAAATGGGAGGATTTCTTTCTTCCCTCTGATTTTAGTTTTCTTTTTAAAAAGTCCTTACGGTAGAGGGCCAGGCAAAGCAAACAACCCACTTACACACTAGAGCAAAGATGAAAGGAAATGAGCTGCCCCTTTCTGGTTAGAAATTCTTATCTGGTGACCAAACCTTTGTTAGTTTCTGAAAGCAGAAGTGGTCTGCCTTGGCGGCAAGGTTCAAAGCCACTTTTCATTTTTTAAAAAAATAGATACTGCAATCAAAAGTTTGTCTATTTGTTGAAATATTTAGAAGAACAAGATATCACTTTGACCTCCTTACACCTGTGACCCTTTTGAAAGATGTGAAGGTGCACTTTATGCCTGTTTATGTTCTTTATCTTTAATGGGCTTCTGCATTCACACACACACACTCACACACATATATGGAAAAGATTAAAGCTTGCAAAGTCCTTTGAGCAAGGAGAGGCCTATAATTCTTATTTCTTACAATATATCAGAATCCAAATCTTGTCTCCCAATAAAGGTACACATATGTAGAGTGAAAGAAAATGAATTCCTCGCTGAAGACAATCCTGCAGTGTGATGAATTCAGAGAAAGAATGGGATTTTTCCTAAGCAGAGATCATAAAGACGCAACTCCAAAGTTCCTGAAACCAAACTATTTCTAAGAGCAAAGATGCAATTCCCCAATTTCATCCTTACAAGAAAAAATGAGTAATTTCCTTCCTATTCACAGTTCAGGACTTATTTTGTGTAAAATTCACACATGGATTTTTTTCATGTAGAAAACACCCCCTCCAATGAAATTTTTTCTCAGTCCTAAATTTTTAACATTACAATAACTTGGAACCTCACTTGAGCTCTTAGAAATACAGTTTAGCCATTCAAAGAAAAGTTCCCAAGGAAATGAGAACACAGCAAACAGAAGAGTTCTAGAGATGGAGGATATCCAATGTCTATCTCTTTACAGCAATAGAAATTTGAAGAAATTTCATGAAGGGGCAGAATTCTTATTTGGGGTGGCAAATCCTTTAATTTGCACCCCATACCTATGCTATCTTGTATCCTCTGATGTCATGTGGCCCATTCAGTACCAGAACCAGGGTATACCCATCTTAACATGCATTTTAAAACATCCCTGTTTGCTCTGGATTTGTAGTTTGTTGTGGCACCAGAGAAGGCTAGATATCTCACAAAAACACAAATCCCAGAATTCCATAGTACTGAGGCATGACAGTTAAAGTGGTATCAAACTGGATTATTTCTGCAGTGTGGATGAAGCCGAAGACAGTTCAAGAATGGGAAATGTTGCAGCCTAGTAATTTATGTAGAGCATTTTCCAAAATTTTCCAATATATGTGTGATTAAGTTTTCCATGCTCTCAAGGGAAGAGAAGACAAAGAAAAAAAACAAGGAAGAGAGGAAGGGCTGGAAAGCAGAAGACAGAGTTTTAACAGTTCAATGCAAAGCTGAGAAAGAAGGTGGGAAGTGATAGATTTATAGCATTAATGAAAAGGAGACTATGACACAATAACAAAAATGTGGCAAATTAAGACAGGTATGTTGGACTTTCTGTTCTTTCTTTCAGTTCCCCCCATTCCACCCCTTTCAAGTGAAGTTTAATAGAATTCTTGGGCTGAGAGGATTCTTTTGTTATACCAGGTAATATTTTTGAAAAACAGCATTACCAAAGGTTAAACATAGAACAGATGTAAGTTGTAAAATACAAGCTGATCAAAGCTCGGATTTTGAGACAGAGACGTTAGCAAATGATGATAAATCAATCCCAGTAGAACTGTAAGAAGCAGACAAATGTAACTATGGAAGAGTGAAAGTCAGAGGCTGACTATTCAGAAAAGGGCAGAAGTGAAAGAGTAGAAACAAATGTTAGAGTTAATTCTTGACTTCTTAGATAGAGTATCGAGCAAATGAAATGCATAGTAAACAACTAAGCTTGTCTGACATCCTAAACTAGATTAACTTTAAAATAATGGTCATGTATCATGAGGCTAATGCACCTTGGATAAGTCTTTTAAAATCAGAATAAAACCCAAAACAGATTTGCTGCCCCAGTTACATGGAAAGCCCCTGTTGCAAACTCCCTGACAGTGATTATTCAATGGTGCACAGGTCTTTGTGTACAGAGAGAGATGAGGAGATCTGAGATCAGATTTCCTCCTATGAGATTAGAGCTCTATCTTTGGCCAGAGATACCCTCCTGGGGACCATAGTTTTGCATTGTCCATGTTCTACAAGAACACCACAACTATCATGATAACTTTAAAAAGGAATGAAAACATTGGAAAGTTGGCTTTCTGTTAAAGCCACCACTGGTCCTGTCTGCACAGACCAAATAAAGCATCCTCCTCCTTGTCCTTTCAGTGGAGAGTCCAGCCTGTCCAGCACCAGAACTAGGGCATACTCCCTCTCCTTAAAACACATTTTAAAAACATATTTTTTTTTTATTCTGGATCTTCCCAGAAGATCTATAATCTCTGTTCCACCATTGAGCAGCTGGTGAAAATGTGCCCTGTTGAGTCACCCAACACTTCTTCCAGTCATTCAATCTGAGGTCACAATGAGTTACCTAGCCATAGTGATTATCACTGAGTACCTTGTTTTGACTTCAGAACAAAGCAATCTATGTCAGGGTTGCATACTGAGCAGCTCAATGGCACATGCATTCAAACAGTTTCCCAGTGTTGGAAGGGAACGTCTTTGTAAAGGAGAAGAGTTGGGGCAGCTCTGGGGACAAGGTTATCCTGATCAGTGCAGATAAAGATTAGAATATAAATGTTATTTGGGTAGATTATAGTTTCCAGAATTCCCTATTCTAGTTGGGGAAAATCTAGGAGGTTTTTTTTAATAAATAAATAAATAAATAAATAAATAAATAAGCATTGCTTATTCTTCCTGTTGGTGTGATGGCTTACAAGCAGGGTAACCAGATGTCCTAACTGCAAAGGAGTACAAGGCACCACAAAATGTTGGGCATCCACGAAAAATGTAGGACATTACAAAATGAAAGCTAAAAACACTCATAGTCGTGCGCAAAATGGAGGATGTTTTGGAATTCCTCCTGGACAGAAGGTTGAAATGTAGGACACGTCCTCATTACTCTGCTTACAAAGAACTTCTTTCCACGTGGCCCTTATTTGGAGCCGAGCTTCTATGTGGTTCTCTGCCCTTTCACTTCCATCTTTTAAAAGTTTTCTTAAAAAAAGAAAAGAGTGAAAGAAAGAAAGAAAGAAAGAAAGAAAGAAAGAAAGAAAGAAAGAAAGAGACTGAGAAAACACAGCAGAAAAAGTCCAGTATTTATTGAGACCTAAGTGAAACCAAAAACATTTTTAAAAAGACCTGGGAGGGGAGGGGAAGGGAGGTAATTGTTAAGACTGTCAGCAGGGGACTTCTGCGATAATTTGATCTGAACTCTGCTAACAAATCACTCTGCCATTTCTTTTGCTTTAGTATCTGTTTATGCTTCTACAAATTGAAACCCCACTGGCTATCGGTTGCAGAACACCGCTCGGCACAATAACACATCAGCCCGTCAATTAGTTCAAGGTGGGGAAGGATTAGTTGACCATCCCAAACCTACAGGCAGACTCGATATTTTGTCTTTCCCTGCTGAGGTAAAAGGGTGCAGACATATGTAAGTAATAAACCAACAGGCTTCCATCCACTTTAGGCTGAGTGGAAGGAATGCAGAACCAAACTATAAAATAATAATAGACAAAAAAAGGAGGGGGGCAGCAGTGAGAAGAGGGCAAATGCCATACCCCCATCTGCTAAACTAGGGGCTCCGGGATGCCCGTTAACTTTTAAAAGATGTAACGGGGGCTTTGTGTTTTCGTTTTCATACACCCCCTTTTGGGGAACCCGACCCCTCTTTTTTCGAGGGGGTCTATGTTATGGTTTTGGCGTGCCAACATTGAGAGCTGACATGAGATCAAAGCACTGATAAATGAGAGGAAAGGGGATGGTTGACCTCCTGGATTATATTCTACAAGAATTTGGGGCTTTTTAAAGCAATAAGAAAAGTCATAAATAACTGGACCTCAAATCTATTGTGGCACTTTTTTCCCCCTTCCTGGTGAAACATGAACAATGGCTAGATAACATTTGTATAGGGATATGTACATATGGCGGCACTTATACATTTAAGATGAAATAAATACTCTTCCCCCAGGAAAGGCCTTTGAACTGTTCACACAAGGAAATATATATATATATATATCCAGCGGTTTCTTTTAATGGAGCCTACAAATAAGTGTGATTTACAGTGTAGGTTTCGCAGGCATAAGTACTCCTAAAAGAATCCAAATTTTCAAGGAAGGAGAATGGATTGCTGGAGGAGTCTGCAACACCTCCTAATATCAGGAAATTTAATAAATAGTGTTGACCTTTTACATACCCTGTCTGTTTTGTTACCACTGAGTGGAGATATTTAGTGCCAATCTTAAAACCTATGTTTTTTACATGATTGTAAAAGACCAGCAAAAAAAGAATCTAGATAGAATGTTTTTGAAGCTAGAATCTGCATGGCATATACATGCAACTGCTCTATTAGGGCTTATATTAGGGGACAATACTCTGGAACACAAATTATAAAACAGAGGGGTCTGAATTTTATAATATAAATATAAGAGTTTGAGAGCCAGCATGGCGCAGTGGTTTGAGTGTTGGACTGGACCTCTGGAGACCAGGGTTCGAATCACTGCTTGGCCATGGAAACCCACTGGATGACCTTTGGCAAGTCCCACTGTCTCAGAGGATGGCAATAACCATGTGGTGTCAAACTGGATTATTTCTGCAGTGTGGATGCAGCCTAAGAAGGCCCTCTCCTGTGTCCTCAACAAATGTACCTGTGACAGTGGTGGAACTAAAGGCACATCCAAACTGATTCTAAAATCCAGAAAGTTCCAGAGTTCCTCTTCTTTCAAGTATTATGTTGGAGATCCACACACCTTTTTTTTAAAAGAAACCAACCTGGGGAGCTGGAATAAAAAGTCTCCGATTGTACAAGGATCTGACAGAAAATATTCTGGGATCAGATTTAGGCATGGATGGATTCAGTCCAAATCTGCCAGCCATTATTTTAATGTTGTAAGCCACCCCAGTTGCTCTGCAGAGGGGCGGGGTAAAAATAATTTTTTTATTATTTATTATAGCACACCACTTTGGCTCCTGTAACTTCTCTTCTTTACTTTTGTACAGCCACTTCAAGTTCTATTTTGGGAGAAAGGCAGGATATAAATTAATTAAATAAATACAATCAGAACGATTTGGTAGTTTTGGTAAATTTGAGCTGAAATTTACTATAATTTGGGGGTTACTCAACAAAGGTAAATGAATAATAGGGATACCCATTCTCTCCCCTTGTGCTATCATTCCTAATTAGAAAACCTAAAACCCACAAAAGAGGAGCAGAATGTTTGCTTCAGTTGCCTGCAGGAGGAACCAGCTTTGTTGCCGACCCATTAGAATAAGCAGAAAATTAACTCTGACAGCACATTGCTCGGTAAACAAACATGGCTTGATTGATGAAGACAAACTGCAGAAACACCGACAAAATCTTGTTCCTCTGTTGAAAAGATGGAGGGTAGTGGGAGGATGGGGGGGAACACATGAGTCTCTTCTGAATCTTTTTGCACCTCTCAGGCACAGCTTCCGTCTTGAGAAGAAAGCCAAGCAATTTAATAAATGTCTTTAAACATAATCTTAAATGACTCGCCCAAACAGAAATCCATTTATTATACAACATGAATATGGTACAGATTTTAATTGATGTGCAAACATACAGATTTTGTTTAATATCCTCATAATCCTGCCCATTTGTTAATAAGATTATGGATGTTGTGTGTGTGTGTGTATTTTTAATGGAAACTAATAGACTATGTGATGTCAATATATTTAATATAGAGGTGGAAGTCCTGCAGCCCTCAGATGTTGTCCCAGCTTTTTCACCATAGGCCAGGCTGGTAAGAGCTGATGGGAGCTGCAGTCCAACAATATCTAGAGGACCGTTTGACTTTCATTGCTGATTTCAGACATAGCATACTTCCGATCCCATTAAATTTGTTTGCAACTCAACTACATAAAAAAGTTGATTTTAAGAGGGCAAAATCAGATGCTACACTAAAGGACAAGTGGAGAACTTTTGCCCTGCCCAATGTCTTGGACTATAGTTTCCATAGTCACTTACCTTGGGCTATATTGGCTGGGGTTGCTGGTAAGTAAAGTGCAAAACATCTTCAGGATCTAAGGTTCCTTGTGCTAAAATGAAAGACTGCTTCTAAAATTGGCAATAGTTAGCCTGATAGTTTTCCATTTTTTTGTTGCTGTGTGCCTTCAAGTCATTTCCAACTTATGGTAATCCTAAAGTGAACCTATCACAGAGTTTTTTTGGCAAGTTTCTTCAGAGGGGGTTGCCACTGCCATCCTCTGGTTAAGAGGATGCTCTGCCATCCAGAGCATCTCTTGCTGCCACATGTCACTTACTCTGAGGTCAGAATAAGGAGCCCAGCCATGCGACTGTTGTGCTGGGTGCCTCATTCTGACTTCAGAAGCAAGCAAGACATGGCTAAATGGGATGTACATATGAACAGCCTGGCACTGGAATCTTAATGGGAGGAGGTTGGAACACCTCTGGGACCAGGATACCCCAGGCTGTCCCTTTATGTGTGTCTTCAAGTCATTTGTCATCATAAAGTGACCCCGTTAATTTCATAAGATTTTCTTCAGCAAGGATTACTCAGAGGTGGCTCATCATTCCCTCCCTCTGAAGTATAGCCTAGAGGACCTGGTATTCCTTGGGGGTCTTCCATCCACCCAAATCTGACCCTGCTTAGCTTCCAAGATCAAATGGGATCTGGTGCTTTCAGAGTATTTATTCCTTCCAAAGGTACTTACTTGTAATTAAATGGTTTAGCAACACAGACTTAATCCTTGGCTGTTAATAGAAGCAAATCCTCCATTGGTGCAAACAGAACTATCCTCCAAGGATACTTTCAGCTGGGATTCCTTAGTATCTACAGAGTGAGAGAAAGAATGGAAGAATTTTACTTTGCTGTTAAAGGGAGAGCAGTTTTGAAGAGGAAATACTGGGCATGCTATCACAAAATGCTATGCTAAAGTGCTTTTGCTATGACACTTTTTTTCCCCTCATGTTTTCTGCTTTGACTTGGGTGCATGGGTCATAAACATTTGTTTGTGAGAATTACAAAATGATGACACCATGATGCTGTGTAGACAATTAGATCTGGCTTTATGGTGGCCTCATTGAGGTATATAAAACCATCTAAGGTGTTATCTGCTACCTATATCAGTGCTATGGGCAAGTACAGTCTGCCATGAATTACACTACAAGCAGTACAAGATCCAGTGAGTTGCAGTGGGAAGCCAATGAAGTGTAGTAGTTAGAGGCCTGAATCATCTTGGTAGACCTGCTTAGAGTTAACCCATTGAATCACTGGGATAAGTACAGTCACCCCTCCAAATTTGCAGGGGATCTGTTCTGCACCCACCCACCCACCCCCCATGAAAATTGGAACTTGCAAATCTTAGAGCCCCATTAAAAATAATGGCATGTGCGCCTGTGGTTAGCACTTGTTTGTCCCTCCCCACTTGCAGTCCCATGAAGAGCGGGATGGCAGACTTCAAGTCCACGAATGGATAACTGTACATCTTTTAAAAAAACTTTGTAGTGTGGTAGAGTCTCCTTTTTTGAAGGTTTTTAAACAAAGGCTGGATGGCCATCTGTTACTGGGAATGCTTTGTCTTTCTGCGTGGCAGAATGGAGATAGACTGGATGGACCTTGGGGTCCCTTCCAACTTTATGATTCTAAATCTTTAATTACACATACATCAGAACAACAGCAAAATGTTATCAGATAAGTGATAACAAGACCATTCCAAGCTAGAGTACTTACATAAGTGTTGATTTACTATTCAACTGTTGATTCAGTGAATCTACTTTACTTGGGACTAAACAATAGGGTTCAAGAGTTGGAGTGATCACCTGGGTCTTAGGAAGTCCAGCTTGAAGTGTCCAGTGAGCCAGAAAGTTCACTGGGTGATCCTGACCCAGTGACTGGCTTCCCTCCTACCTCACATGGTTGTTGTGAGAATAAAGTTGGAAGGACAACAGGCATGTATGCTGCCTTCATCACACTGTGGAAAAAAGTGAGATATAGATATAACTAATAAAAGCAAATAAACAGAAAAGTAGATACTGTCAGAAATACCCATCCCCATCAAATTTCTCCATTGATCTTGAAAGCTATCTCAAGCAACAGGAGAGATGATGCTTTTAATTTTTTTTTTGGTTATTTTTTAAATAAAAAAGATAGAAAAATGAAGAGGTGATGACAGTAAGGTGGTGTTTCAATGCCATTATTATTATTATTATTATTATTATTATTATTATTATTATTATTATTTGATGAACTAGTCAAATCTTTGGCTGCAGATCCTTGGCACTCTTTCTATTTCACCTACCGTGGAAGTGAATGAAGCAGTCACAGTCACTAAATTGCAGCTGTTTGCTCTAGTCTTAATTCCACTGAGATAATGCTAATTGTCAGCTCTTTTTGGATGTCTCCCAACCTACCCATTGTGCTTTATTCTTTTCCAAGCAGCATGGGCTTCCACCTACTGTTCCTCATTGTTATACATTTCCTGTTCTTACTATCCACACCTGAGTTTCCAGTCACAGCCTGATAAAAGGACAAATGAAGGGAAACCCTCCTTCCAGCTGTTGTCCCATGGAGCGTCAAAGCCTCTGCTGAGATGAGGAACACCATGTTGAATGACGGCAGCAGTCTTTAGGAAAATCATTGGGAAGAGCACATTCCCCACCCTGTGCATCATGGGAATGCACCAAGGGGACCACTGTGAAAGGATGTGGGAAGCGAAATTAAAATATCAAAGCAAATAGGAAGGGATATTTTCACAAAGCAATTGAGGGACTTTGTGATTTCATGGATAAATGTCTAGAGTTGGAATCCTTGGTCTTCTTCAATTTGCTTCAGTTGATGATTATTCCTTTCCCTGCTCTATGGGCATATGTTTGCACTATGGATCCAAATTGGTTGAAGAATTCAGTCTGGAATCCAGTATCTGCTACTTAACTATACATAACTATTTTACTTAGTTAAATAAGTATTTACTTTGAGTAAACTATTTTTTAATTAAGTAAAATCATTGGAACAATTGTGAATACAAAACAGTTGCAGATGTGTAAATCTAGGTAACTGTTCTGTATTTACAATTACACAATTAGGCTGCATCCACACAGCAGAAACAATCCAGTTTGACAGCACTTTAACTGCCATGGCTCTATGCTATAGAATCTTGGGAATTGTTGCAGCACCAGAGCTCTCTAACAGAGAAGGCTAAAGCACTCACCAAACTAAAATTCCCAGAATTTCATCTCATTGTGCCATAGCAGTTAAAGCAGTATCAAACTGGATTATTGAAGAAGAAGAGAGGGAGGAAGAAGAGGAGGAAGAGGATGAAGATTATGAAGTAGAGGAGGAAGAGGAGGTAGAGAAAACTGAAGAGGAGGAAGGAGAAAAGGAGGAGGAAGGAGCTTGATGATGATGATGGTGATGGAGGAGGAGGAGGAGATGATTTTGTAGGGATTCCAGTTCTTTTTGAAGGTTCCTGTACATTTATCTTAACCAACGTTACTCTCAACAGAGTCACTGAGAGTATGTAATTAACT